TGTTCCCTATTACTATGTATGGGTGTGAAAGCTGGACAATGAAGAAAGCTGACAGAGGAAGAAAGTTGATTACTTTGAAATGTGGTGCTGGAGGAGAGTTTTGCAGATACCTGCTGTGGGCTGCCAAGAACAGAAGCGAGAGTGGGTTCTAGGCCAAATCACGCCTGAACTCTCCCTAGAAACGAAAATGACTAAACTGAGGCTATCGTACTTTGGTTACGAAGAGAAGACAAGAGTCACTGGGAAAGACAATCATGCTGGGAAAAGCTGAAGGCAGCAGGGAAGAGAGAGACCCAACACGAGACAGACGGACTCCATGAAGGCTGCCGCGTGGCCCCCTCCGTTCGCAAGACCTGAGCAAGCCTGTTAATGAGAGGATGTTTCGGAGGACATTTATTCATAAGAGTCGCCATACGACAGAAATTACTTGACGTCAATTAACACACACAAGGAAAGCCACACTAGAGTGCAGACGGGGCCTGCAACTGCTGAGGGCGGCCTGGTCGTCTGCTGTGTGGGTGGGAGAGAGACCAGCGGGGGCGCCTCCACGCTAAGCACACTCTGTCTTGCTTTGCAGCTGGCGGGCAGGTGGCAGGATCCAGATGGGCAGGCGAGAACCATGGTGGGCACAGGGTGAGGAAGGAAGGCACTTATGAGAGCCACTGAACCAGCAAAGCCTCCAAACACCTGCAGGCTTTTGTAACAGAGGAGGAACCCTGCACCTCTGATAGCCTGGGGGAAGGAAGACTACGTGGGTGCAGGAGCTCAGCGGGGCTCCGGCTGTGGGTCATCGGGAGGTGCCGACGGGGTGCCAGGCTCCTCAAGGGCCCTCGGGACAGAGTCTATCCCCGATTGCTGATTGCAGGGTTCCACGTGCACCTCGGGGATCGCAGGGCCTGAGAGGGATCCCTCGTTACTTAAGGAATCTGCCTCAGTGGCCCTGGGCCTGACCCTCGACAACTCCCATTTGTTCCAACCAGAATGAGGGGAGAGGAGGCCAGATAGACTCTGCACTGGGGTCACGCGAGAAACCCTTCTCTGTTTGTGCTTTCTTTTCGTAGATGCCGCTAATCCTCATTGTAGCCTGTTACTGTTCAAATAGATTTTAGGGTTGTGTTTTTCTTTCATAAAACTGGGGCACAGAGACTCTGAAGCACAGCACTTAAAGCTCTGCAGCTGATTTCTCCATGGAATCTTTACTGTGACATTTTTGGTAGATCTTCATCCACTCTTGTTGTTTATTTTAAAAAAAACCTCCAAGAACATCCTTCTTCTCTGAATCTTATAGATTTCCCTGCTCCTTGGAAACAACATGTTGATAAAAACAAACTCCCCCAACGGCAGCACTTCCTTTTTTGGGAAATTCAGAGCTTTTGAACCTCTTCAGCCGTCAAGGATCATAAAAAGTCTCCTGGAGCTGATCTACTCAGTGTTGGATCCCCAAGCATCGAGAATAAATCCACGTTTTAAGAAAAGCAAAATTTATTTCAAAGCGTTGACGACATACTCAAACACGTTCTTTGTTAGAACTGGGGATACACAGTTAGATCAAGCATAATAAAGGAACTTCAAAGAGATACAGGTCCAATGAATAACTTTCCCGCTGGCGGGCTAATGAAACGGTTGCGCGCCCAGTCCATGGGAACCAGGCAGGATATTAGACATAACACAGGTGCAGTATTCATGGGAAAAGCAATAGCCAAGCATTACAGCATCTTCTCCCCCACACAACCTCCAGCAGTTATCTTTTGCATTCCAACGCAGGAGTAGGATGATAGAAACCAAGCCGGGTGCAACAGGGAAAGGATATGTACACAAAGGTCACAGAAAACAGAATGGCAGCCTGCTGACACTCAGTCATCATGGGCTCACTGGGATTGTCCCAGGCCACTGTCACTGAAGTCTCAGTTCCGCATTTATGAAACAAGAAGAATGTGAGGTTTCATCCAAGGCAATCTAGAAGGCATAGAAATTGCATACCACGTTAGAAACGTTACATAAATTAATGTTTCTTACAATTTATTTTCAGGAAAGCCCAAAGCAAACATTTCAAAAGTTTCTTGTGCCTTTTCAGCATGCTTCAGTTCCATATATCCTGGCTCTGCTTTAGTTTGAGAGATGCAGATTGGAGGCAGCCAGGGTCTCAGGCTACAACAGTTCATTAGCTTAGGGAGGCAGTGTGAGCAGGAGGGGCCAAAAAGTTGCTGGATATCCACTGCCTGGTGGAAGAGCTCTGTCTTGTAGGCCCTGAGGAATTGGTAAGAGATCCTGCAGGGCCCTGACCTTGAATGGGAGCACATTCCACCAGGTCGGGGCCAGGGCTGAAAATGCCCTGGCCCGAGTTGAGGCTGATCGGACACCCTTTGGCATGGGGATTGCCAGCAGATGTTGGTCTGTCAAGCCCAGGGCTCTTCGGGGTGCATAAGGGTCCCGCTGGTATGTTGGTCCCTGGTTACTCAGGGCCTTAAAGGTTAGTACCAACACCTTGAAACGAATCCAGAACTCCATCAGCAACCAGTGCAATTTGCGGAGCACCACCCAAATGTACACTCGCTGAGACCCCACAGTCAGCAGGCGCGGCTGCATTTTGCATCAGCCGCAGTTTCCAGATCAGGTACGAGGGTACAGCCACCACTGTTCCCTCTAAGCTGAAGTGACGTGAGCCAGGTCACAGTTTTTTTAGCCTTGTACTCACAGATTTTTGTCTTAGCTCAGGAAGTGATGGCTCCAGAGCAAACTAATTTATGCAGCAGCCAAATCACTCGCTCACAACTTTAAGGCCGGTAGCTCACAAGGTAGAATATCTCCTCACAAGAGAGAGCATTGACACCAGCGTAAAGTGAGTTACAATAGTCCCATCTGGAAGTGACCATTGCATGGATCACTGTAGCCAAGCCACAGGTGGAGAAGTAGGGAACTAGTTGCTGAGCCTGCCGAAGGTGGGAAAAGGCAGATTTGGCGACCGCCGTGATCCAGGCCTCCATTGACAGTGGGGCACCCAGGATCACACTTAGACATCCAGAACTGGGAGGTGAATTTCCACATCAGTCCCCCACGACTCAGGCGCAGGACCTCCGTCATTGCTGGATTTAACTTCACCCGGCTCTGTTGCAACCAACCAGCCACAGCCTTCAGAGCCCTGGCCAGAATATTCGGGGCTGCGTCTGACTGGCTGCCCATTAACAGATATAGCTGGGTGTCATCTCCATATTGCTGACACCCCAGCCCAACCCCCCCCCCCGATCAGGTAGGCGAGAGGGCGCAGGTAGAGGTTAGATAACATTGGGGAGAGGACTGCCCCCTGGTAATCATGGGGAAACCTTCTCCTTTTGACTGCAACCTGAGTGTGAACTGAACCTACTTGTAGAAATGTAAGTTTTTACCTTCTGCAATATGCTGCTTGGGAGACTTATTTACTGCACTCAGTCCCACGCTTCTGTGACTGAGGGAAACTCTGCGATATTAACTAAATATCCTAAAACATTTAGAACATATGAACACAGAGCCATGTTGGCTCAGGCCAATGGTCCAGAACCTGAAAAGGTTAGTCAGATAGAAAAGAGGGCCAACAATAAAAGCTTAATATATCTATAGTATTAAAAAAACATATGAGGGCCCAATCACACCTCGTGTAAAAATGCCAGAATCTCTCACACACCCGGGCACCCAGGCCTAGCTGCCTCCGGAAAGGTGTGATTGGGCCCTTATATGTTTCTTAATTCTTTGTTAATAAATACACGTATCTTTGTATATACTATAGATATATTAAGCTTTTATTGTCGGCCCTCTTTTCTACTTGACTAACCTTTTCAGGTTCTGGATCTCAGGTTTCAAGGTTCATTCCCCCCCCCTTTGTCCCAGTAGGATCAGGCCAGTGGCCCCTCCAGTCCAGCACTCTGGGTGACACACAGGGGCCAAAGCCGAGGGGCCACCAGGAGGTCCACCAGTGGGGCCAGAACTCCAGAATCCCTCCCGCTGCCCCCCCAAGCACCAAGAAGAGAGGGCCTCACTGCCCCAGACATAAGAACATCAGAGAGAAGCCAAATGTTGGATGGGGCCAGTGGCCCCCCCTCCAGTCCAGCACTCTGGGTGACACACAGGGGCCAAAGCCGAGGGGCCACCAGGAGGTCCGCCAGCGGGGCCAGAAGCCCTGCCTCAGAGGGCAGAGGGGCCTCCCCGGGTGACCAGAGTGGATGGGTGGGTTTCTGCGGGAGAAGGTCACTGCTAGCCCCCTGAACGGAGCCTGGGAGCCAGCGCCGGAGAGGACACACAAGAGTGGGCCGGCTCCAGTCCACAGTCTGCTGCCTGCCCTCTGTAGGGAGGGTCCTGTTTCCGACCAGCGGTGCGGGGAGGCCTTGGGTGGCCTGGCCTGGCGTGCCAGGGGGATGCTGCTTGGCTTCCGCCGTCCCCGTGGGGAGTCCTCCGGGGTGTGTTGAGGCGAAGGCGCCCGGGCCCCCGGCGGCGGGGCCAGCCTTGCCTTCCTCCGCCCCGCCCCAGGACCGCTCTCGGCTGCCTCTCCCTCAGGCGCCAGCTGTGGGAAGGGGGCGCGGGGGGGTCTCCTTCGGAGGACGCCGCCCCCCCGCCCGCCCGCCCCCC